CATAATAATGATATTAGTTTCATCATTGCATTTCTTTTTGCCATTGTTGCGTTATTCTCTGTTTTGAGCCTCTCTCATCCACACAATCTCCGCACAGCCGTTCAAACGAATATTTCTGCCGCGTAGACGGTCTTCTCTATATTAGCATTGCTTAGGTACTATCCAGTAATCCGCTTTGTTCATCTGTTGCCTCTCACCTTACCCAACTAAGTAGTCTTTTTTAGTCTTTTTTTTTTAAATGAAATAATGAGATTTGAATCTCTGAATAGCTATTCAGGCCAGTTCTCTCGTTTTGTCGGTCTTCCGTATATATCTTTTAGAATTGCTTAGTTATCATTCAATAATCCGCTTTGTCCTTCTATTGTCTCTTATCTTACCATGATAACTAGTCAATTTTTTAAAAAAATTTTTTTTTGATAAAATTTAATTTCAGGATGGAAGTATATGTATGTGGAAAATTGATGTTGCAGAAATCCACCTCCTCAAACTGACACAAACTGGACGAGGTGTTATACGTTCACTTCTATGTCTACCACAACAATTGGTAAATTTCCAGTATTTTTTTTATTTTGCATTTGCTATCGTCACTAGTAAGATTACTACGAGCTTGGAATTTTCAAAAAAAAAAAGACGGAAATCGTTGAATAGCGAATAGTACCGTAAGGGAGTAATAAAGTGGATAGTCTACTGTATATTAATTTTATCTGTAGTTTTATCCCTAATTTTAAGTTTTTCGAATTTAAATTGGCTCTTGTAATGCTTCTAGGGCGATGTTTTTTCCTCGAAAATTGAGGCAACAATTCTTTCGCTGCGCACAGGTTTTGCCTTCTCCCTCTTTCTTTCCTCTCTTTCCGCTTCCCTTTCCTTCTCCTTCTTTGCCTTGTCTCTCCCTCTCCATCTATCTCAGGTTATCAGTTGATAATTTATTTGCTATTGGCAACAATTTATCCCCTCCCTTAGCTATGACTAATCAGTGACAAGCCGTTACAAAGAGTTCAGTCCTTGGGTAAATTTTGTTTTGAAAATACTCTGTACTATTCCAAGGCAGTCACTGATTTAAAGCGAGAACCTCCGATGACCTCGCCAGTAAGTAGCATAGACGGATGATCCAGGACGGACTGCTGGGGAAGGAAAGGAGGACGAGAGGGGGTGCGGAAGAGAGTTTTCTTTAGTTTTTAGCTTTAGACCCAGACTTTTGTAGTACTGGTGCCTGTGTCGCTGGGGGAAAGGGCCCCTGGATCAGCTTATGGTGGTTAGTTTCTACTGCCATTTGCTCATTAATCGACTTAACAACGAGTGCCTACGCTTCTCATTAAGAGGGTGGTGACATGGGGAATTTCCACTAATTTGTTACCTGACTTGTGTAATTTCCTTTGCAGCTATTTGGAACAGATTGTGGATTTTTCGGCTCTTTTCGGTTTCCGTTAGACGTTGCCAAAATGCAAAAATTGGAAGTCGTCAGGCCCGAGTTTTCTGTGCTCTCATTTATTGCACTTTCACCGGACCATTATTTCATACTGGATTCGAATAGGTTAATTCTTTTATACTGTTCCTCCACTGATCAGTGATAGGCTCTGTTTGTGTGTACAGTTGTGTGCGCATAATTTTACCGCACTTCCTCTCTCTCTCTGGCTGACAGCCAGAACAGCTGGATATGCGAATCCTTGACGAGGAATAAAAAATGCCGGTACTGCAAGAGTACTGTTGACCGGCTATATATCCCTGGAGAACTTGGTGGATGTGAATTGGAGTCGCTTGAGGACTGTCTGCGGGAAATTATCCCGGCGACCTGGGCCTACGTAGTCACTCACCCGTCGATGCGGTCGCAGCATTTCCTGTTCGCGCAGCTTTATATGCTGCAACGTATACTCGTGCAGCGAGTATACGCATCACGGATATTTTATCGCCTAGCATTTTTGCGCTAGGAATGTGGCAAGCATTCTAGTGACATCACCAACAGGGGGATCCCAAACTGTTAAAAAATATATCAAAAATATGCTATAACGCATCCCATGTACGTATCCAAGGTACCAATTTTAGAGTCGTATCTGCAGTAAAGGGGATGAATCCAGTGAAAAAAGTACTGGATTGCCCGTCTATTCGTTCTGATTCAATGAAATTATCACCTTGCACAAAATACGTTGCTCTATCATCGGACCAAAATTTACACATAATAGCAGGTAAAATTTTAATGCAATAATAATAAGTAACGGTCATTAGATGGAGGCCACGAATCGTAATCGAAAACCAAGTGAACGGTCCAAAAAAAGTTTTTACTGTCCTTCTTCCTGTTTCTTCGGCTTTCTACTGTTTTCGTTTCCCATCCATTATTTCAGCTAGCAGTCGTGCTATTCTTTTCCGATAGAATATTACACAGTCCTGGAAACGAATGATTACTTCTATTATCTTCCTACCTCTTAACCTTCCCATTGTTCTGTGTTATTTAACATTCATTTGCAATATTTTTTTCAGTTGTTAACCAAAAGCGAGCCTGTTTTAACGCTGTAGGACAGATATTGGATTTGTTCTGGGTTGGAAACTGTGTCCTTCTCACTCTTATCAATTATGATAATGTGAGTTTGCTCCACTCAGTATTGCTATTTATGTTTCTTTGTAGAGTACGGTCCTTCCAGTCACCTTTTGACGTACGATTTTTGATGGGAGTTTCCAGTGTATATTTGTTTTCAAAGGAAGCTAGACGTAACTGACAACTTCTTTAAAGATTATACCATTTTCCTGTGATTTAGCTGGAGGCTTATTTGCAAGCTGTTCGCAGTTTTACTGTGCTTTTTAAAGAATAGGTTCTGGTTCGATTATCTGAGAATATGCTGCTTGAAAAGATCGGTACGATACAATCGGGCCTGAAAGAAATACTTTCTTGTGCTACGGACCATCAAGATCAACTATTCCTTGGGACCAGAAAAGGCTCGATTATCGTTGCTCATGATTTCAAGGTAACATTGTGCCGGTTTTCAAAAGTTTCATTTCGATAACAGCTGGGAAGTCGTAGAATTCGCGAAGATTATTTGCTTAGAACTAAGTGTATTGCTGAGCTATACATCGAGCGTACGGACATAGGGTAAAGGGCGAAACCAGGGCGGGCTCCTGGGGGAGAGGGGGACGGGGGCGGCCGGAAATGCGGAAGAGAGTTTTCTATAGTTCTAACACTGCTGCTTGTGCCACTGGGGGGAGCGAAAGATCCGTCTCCCCGTCCCCCCATTCTTCTGCGGATTCGCCTGTGGCAGAGGGTGAGAAAGAAGCAACCAGACGTTTTTAGAGGACAAATTAATGCAATTTCATCACATGCATGCTTTTTTTGGTTGGCCTTTATAGTTTTGCATCGGCATACAAGCATCATTGGTAGATTAGCACTGCCGGCTTCACATCTATCAATTTAGATAGTATTTATATACCCAAATCGAAACAAATATGTTGTTGACACACAGTAATACTAGCTTTTTCTTCACATGTATTAGTTTCGACAATCTTTGTGCATTCTTATCTGCAGTTCTTTTCTTCATCCCTTTAATTCAAAATTTCCCGCTGTGCATTAATTGTTTTTTATGCATATTTCATTTTCAGATTGAACAGATTATAAGATGGGCTCACGGGAAGAAAAGCATTGCTGATATCAGAGCGTACGAGTCAAAATTATTGTCTATTGGACGTGACGGAAAATTACGAATTTGGCTTATAGGTCAACATGAAAATTCGTTCTTTTTTTGGTGGGCTGGCGGAGACTAGTCTTTGTGGTTTTCTTTTCAAAATTAGTATTGTCATTTTTTATTTTAGAAGATCACATTCAACTGCTGTTCTGGCGTCGACCATCAGCTGCCATAGAAATGGAATGGCCTTGCAAATTTGTCGGTTTGTACAACGAGCTTTTTATTGCTGGATTTCATGGGGTAAAAATTTCATTGAAATTCAAGAAAAATGAAAACTTTTGAATTTAGGAAATTCTTCTGATATCGTAAAATTTGTCAGTAGAGTTCTGATCTACGGGGTTCAATCAAATACTGCCTATAGCTGTGCCATACTGGTATACTTACAATGAATTTACGTTAGTTCATTAGGTTGCAGCCTCCAGATCAGTTAGCACACAGATTAAGCCGTTTTGCTGCTTACTAGTTTCATTTCCGAGTTCGATGCCATCATTGAATTTGATATCCATTCATTCCGCTGTCAGAATTCTTTCTCTTCCGCCACGCTGTTTTTGAATATTTTGCTGCATAAACACAGCTTGAAAATCTTCTAGTTCTGACAATGAAATAACAGATTTGAAAGCGATAAGGATGTACGGTCCGGGTTAGCTTTAGCTGTGCTTGCGGATGACATAACAGGAGAATGAATGGAGACTTGGAGATTTTGGGAAGTTTATATAGGGTTAGTCAAAGACGGGATTGGAGAGCTTCGAATGGAGGTTAGTGGGGGAAAGGGGGCAAGGAAGAATTTGGAATCAAATTGTGGGACTGACCCTCCATTGCATAAGGATATTTAGAAGTCACTGGAAATGTTGATCATGAAATCTCAAAAGTAAAAGTATTAATTACGTAAGAATAAGAATTCGATCAGCTAATTTTTTTTTGAGCGATACTTCTTCGCCTGATGATCAAGCTACTGGCGATCCTTGCATTCGTTTCGTCTCTTAACAGCTTATTGGCTTAAGCGAGAAAATAACAGTTCTTTTTTTTGTAGAAAAATTTCCACTTGGTGCATTATGAAACTGAACACTGTGTTTGTGAACTTGCATGTGGTGGTGGACATCGGTCTTGGCAATTATCAATACCTCATAAAAGTACTGATAGTTTTAATGGGCCAAACTTTGTATATTTCGAATTTATCATAAAAGGAAGAATTTCACGAATTCTGGTCCCGTTGAATCAACTGCGCATCGTTAAGGTTTGTCTTTTTGCGGAAATCAACGTATCGCTTCATTCCAGTATCACTGAGGAATTCATAGGTTATAATCTTGATGATTCTGATGATTTTCGTTACATTACAGCCACATTTGCATTTATCCAGCATCACATCTGTAGCGACTTTTAAGTGTGGCATGGAGGAATTTTATGTGACTGGTGGTATTGATGCGATGCTCATTGTCTCACAGTTCCGAAGCACAGGTTCGAATTTGTTTTCATGCCTATTAGGATAGCTGTAATTCATACCTGGGAACTGAATTTGAAATCTTTAAGTTCAGAGTTGACGGAGAATATCCTTTTAAAATTTCATCCTTCTATCTGGTTCTCCACCTGCTGCTCTGATCAATGCTGCATTCCTGGTGATAGTCTGGTGACGATCCTGACATTCATCTCCTTTCCAGAAGAGTTTGCAGTTTAATGATTCCCCCGCACAAGAACTTGGCATGGCTTTAGCCATTTTGCGATATCGCTGATGTATTCTGAGCATCTCAGTGACTTCACTGTGATACCTTACCATCTAGGAATCGCTTTACATAATGCAGAATTTCACGTTTATTGCTGAAGCATCCATGCATTGCGAAATCAGTAGCAAAGCCCGGAGAGACCCCAGGACTAACAAGTTTTAGCTATGGATATTAAATAAAGTGACATGTATTTCAGGATCCGTAGAAGTGATGCAGCGTATACCAGTACATTCATCATCCATTTATGCTCTCTGTGCGAAAGAAAATTACTTCATTTCAGCTGGCGGAAAATCTGAAATTTTCATTTTCCATTTACATACCGGTATTTTTCATTTAAAGTTTGAAATAGTTGTCGCGGAAAACCCGCAAAAAACCTGCCTAGAAGCCGCCACAAAAAAAAGGAGGAAAAGAGGAAGGTCTATCTTGCATAGAAAGGCAGATACATAGTAGATGTGCTGCCAGGCTGAACCTGGAACAGAAGGAGTGGTGGTGTAGTGGTAACACATTGCATCCGGATGTGAGGAGGAATGGTTCGATGCCTTCCCGGTCCAGGGTAATTTTCGGAGAAAGGGTCCCGTTCACGTCAACATTGTTTTGTAAACTCAGGTTGTTTGAAGAAAATTTTTTCCAGCGAATAGTTCCTGTTGCCCGTTTTATTGCTAAGGTTACATCACAGTGCTTCATGCTCTTCTGGAGAGTGAGTATGAGAGAAGAAAAGTTGACTTTTGGTCGTTTTATTTTCTTCATATAGATCGTTTTTCAGGAAACTTGCGGCAGGTATTCAATATGCGCTTGAAAGGTGACTGCCGATTGTTGAGTATTCAATTGTTAGCTGTCACCCCATGCATTCAGTTTATCGTCTCAAGCTCTGATGGGAGATTATTGTGAGTCCTTTCTTCTGTATCGTTTTTATACTGCTTTTTTATTTGAATTTTAACCTAAAATCTTATTTCTTTGTTTTTTTTTAAAATTATTGTTGCATAAAAACACATTGTGGTGAACACAAAAACACATTCATTTCGTGTTCCCCTGACTCTGTCGTCTTGGCTGAACTCGAGAGTTACGAAAGCTAGGAAGCCGAATTTCTGGAACATAGTCCCCGACTACGTGTGGGGACGTAATTTATATATGCATATATATATGATTATATTAAAGAAAAATGGACGAACAGGATTTCTTCAGCCCATAAGTTCGTAGACATTCCTATTTAGCGCCACAACTGGACATTCTACTGACATAGACATTCCAATGCCATACCAAATTTTTTTCCAGGTTTTATTCGTTGACCGATGATTTGAAGACTACAAAACATTGTGTGCCTCTCCTTGATCCTTTAACTAACCCTGGTATAATCACAAAGATTGCTATTGGCTCAGTGAACACTCCTGTACGAACAACTTCGTTTGCTGCTGTTTCAACAGCAGGTCTGTTATATTTGTGGGAAAATGTTAACGATTTTGACAGAAGTCCGGATATTATTGAGGTGGAGAAATGTGGATTGAGCGCATTGGATATATACACCAAAGATGGTCAGTTTTTGTTATTCATTTCTTTTTTTAATATCAGAATTTTGTGTTTTTTGCATAAATAAGTGAGCGATAAATGTAGCTGAATTTAATGTATGATGAATACCGCATTTGCGTGGATAATCGGTGTGAGAATCCCATGTTAGGGAAGAAAAGTAATAAAAATTATAGCTTAAGGTACTAAGTAATACTTACACCACTTCTCATATGATGCTTGGCAGCTTATTTTTATATGAAAGTAGCTTTGTAGCTTATTTTTATATGAAAGTTTCGAGGGAAATCTTTATGGTGTATTCTTGTATGGATGTTGTCCATGAAACAAGAAATGGCTTCTGGCATGAGTTCTGAGAAAGTTCTATTGGGTAGATAATCGCTGTGATGGACAAATCAAATCAGTGCAATCCAAGAAAGGAAATGAATAAATGATTTCTACTTCAATAACATCAGGAATACGATCGATCCAGCGTTTTTTTTAGGAATCCTCTATGTTGGTATAGGCTCAGAATCGGGTTCTGTTACCGTATTCCAAACGGAAAAAAAACAAAAATTTACAAAATGCACGAATCGTTGGCACAGCGCAACATGCACAGGTGTTTTTTCTACTTTAAGAAAAATAGAGAAAAATATTACTCCAGATTTTTCTTACGTGTTGCAAAACGGGCGGAATTACGACCCAGTAATTGTTTGAACCTAAATTTATTAGGTACATGTCAGGCTGAATCTCCTGATTGGACCTAAAAGTGGCAGAGTGTGACCTTTGGATTTTGTGATCCATTTTTCTGAATCCTGGGCCTATTTCATCCAGGCAAATTTATGTGATCATCAAAATGAGCCTTTCAACGCATTGACAGCTTTCTGCTTGTCCTTTTGACACAGCATAAGTACCATTTCAGTAATCTGCCTTGTTCGTAATTCGCATTAGTTGATTGGCCCGACTTTTCCCCTGGCGTACATTGTCTTAACAAAATCGCCCATTCCAGGCCGTAAAGGATGGAGGAGGAGGAGGGAGGGGGAGGGAGAGAGGAGGAAAATCCGTTATATTAAGAAGCAAAGGAGATGGGTTCT